AGAAAGAAAGAGGGAAAGATGGAAAAAGAGAGGGAGGGAAGGAAGAAGGAGAAGAGATAAAGAGAGAGAGGGAGAGGGAGAGGAGATAGAGAATGAGAATGAATTAGGGTGAAAACCAACAAAACAACACAGAAACCTTATTCTCTACAAGAAACACTTGATACTTTTCATTCGCAACAAAATTTCCCATTTTCAGCAAGTCACCTTTGCCGATTGCTGTCTTGTATTATCCATATTCACTGCCAAGTCTTCATTTTCCGAAGGGTGGGAAGTGTTGTTACTGAAGGCACTTGGCTTCCAAGGAATGTCTTCAGTCAGAGAGAACGATTTCACCCAAGATTGCATTCCTCTGGCAAGTTATGGGAGGATAGCTCACACACAATGACTGATCTAAAGAGATCGCTCCTGCCTTAATGTGAGACAGGGTTGAAGAGCTCACTCCATTCCATAGCCAATAGGGAACATGATAAATGGAGAAAATATTGAAGTTGTCAAGGACTTTGCTTTGCTCATATCTACAATCAATGCCCCTGGAAGCAGTAGCCAAGAGATCCAAAGATGCTTTGCACTGGGTAAACCTTATTCACAAGACATTTTGAGAATGTTGAATAGCCGGGAGGCTACTTTGAGGACTAAGGTGTGTGTGGTAGTTACATAATCTGGTGTCAATTTGAGGATTAAGAGTGTAGGGGTAGAGTCTAGGCTGTCAATCAGGATACAGCTAATGAGGCTCCTGTGTGGGCATGGTCTTCTCCTGAGGATTCTGGGAACTCTTGTATAATTCCTCCTTGGAAGTAGGAGAAACACTCTCTCCCTGCTCACTCCCTGACAGACTCTCTACTACAAGACACATGGGGCTATGCTGATGGCAGTGAGATCCCTAGACCTGGAGAAGCCACGTGGGGACCCCTGCCAGGGCTGAGATGCTTACAATGCCACTGGATCCACAAGACTTCCCACCCATTGGCCTGTGATCTTCCTGTATTTGGCATCATCACATGTGTCTCGTGAGTCTGAAGAGATTGGTATTGGACATATGGGTTTGATCTGGACTGGG